TGAGATTAGACTTACTCAAGGTCCAATAGCTCAAAATTATGGAAAACCAAAATAAATACTTAGATGTTCTATTTTAGGAATAAAATGTAAAAATAGACATGACTTCTGCCCTAATGAAGTTAACAGTCTATAAAGGGAGATAAGATGTGTATGTGGATGGTCATACTTAAGACAGAAAGTCGTAAGTATTATAAAAGGGTACCAATGAAGTGTTACAAGAATTCAAAGAAAAGTAGATTGCTTGAGTATGAAATTATTAGGAAGATTTAATCAAACAAGCAGTATTTGAACTGGGCCTTGAATAATAAGCATGATATGATTTTCCCCAAACAGGAACTAGAATGAGGCATGGAAGTAAGAGCCAAGGATTGAACAAGAGTGGCCCTTTTAGAGGCAATGACAAGGAGAAGCCAGAGAGAATCAAGAGTCCTTGTGCAATTAGAATTAACATCAGAAGAGAAATGAGAGAAAAGAGTCAAAGATGATGCCAAGTTTTCTATGCCAGGTACATGGAATAATAAAGTTGCTAACAATAGTCATGGGAAACATTTCCTCACCTTCCATTACTTCCTAAACCTACTGTACCATGATTACTGCTCCCAACACTCCTCAGGAATTGGTTTTCTCAAGGTCTCCAGTGATTTCCTTACACTAAATACAATAAACACATTTAAGTCTATACCATATTTGATATCTTGGCTACATTCAGCTCTATAGTCAGCTCCATCTATTGTGAATGTTTTCTTCTTCAGACATTCTTGACTTCACACTCTCCAGTTTTACATAAGGCAATCCATACAAAATGCTTACTGCACTCAACGCTCCATGCACATACATGCTCAAAATATGTTAGCTTAGACCTTTGATTAGTCTTCTTACTTTTTTGATGACCCCTTTGTAGCCTTCTCTTTCTTATTGAACCGTTAAATAGAGCCTCTTCTGTCTGGGTCCTCTCTCTTCTCATGCAATGTCCTCACTGTTGGCAATCTTCATTCAGTTTCATGGCTTCAATAACCATAAATGTCCTAAGGATCACCAAAGCAAAGTTTACAGTTCATATTTTTCTACTAAACTCCAGACCCATTAACTTCCTATTGACTATTTATGCTTATAAATACTTTAGGAAACCCAAATGCAACATGTCCAAGTTTGAACTCAAGTATTCCTCCCTAACCTCCTCCTCTTCTCCTCTTCTGTAGCTCAGTGGAAAGTTGTAGTACAAAAAAAATAAATATTTTGTCTTTGTCCCCAGGTCCCAGCACACAGTTCTTAAAACCCTTGAAATTCCCTGAGTGATGAGGGGTACAGGAGCATTTTTTGTTCTAATGAGGTGAATCTGGTGAAACCTCCATAAAACCCCTAAACAACAGGGTTTGGAGAGCTACCAAGCTGGTGAACACATCAATGTGCTGGGAGGATGGTACACTCAGAGATACATATACCTTGCTCTATGCATCTCTTCCATTTGGCTATTCTTGAGTTGTATCCTTTAAAAGAAAACAGCGATAGTAAATGTTTTCTTGAGACTTGTGTGTCATTCTAGTGATTTATCAAGGCTGAAAAAGGGAAGATGGGGTGGGAACCCCCGACTTTCTAGCTTAGGACACAAGTGCAGATAACGTGGTGACTCAACACTTGCAACTGGCATCTGAAGCGAGGCAGTCTTGTGGACTGAGCCCTTAACTTCTGGAGTCTTATGCTATCTCTGGAGTAGTTAGTGTCAGAATTTAATTGAATTGTAGGCTGACCAGTTGGAGTCAGAACTGGTGGGTGTCAGGAAAAAAAATCCACAAAGATATCCTTTTCCATCCCATTCAAGCCAGAAATGTTTGTCTCTTTTTCCCCCGTGCCTCAATAAAAGAAATCACCAAGTCTTTCAAAACATATTTTAAGATCCTTAGCTTTTCTCCATCTCTAACGTCACTACTTCAATCAAAGATTTCATCACCTCTCATTTGATTCTAGTTGATCTTTCCCCTGTCTTTGGCTTTTCGAAGCAACTTCCACACTGCAGGCAAACTGACCTTTCTAAAATTCAGATTTGATCTTGTAATTCTCTTCCTATAACCCTCCAATATTTTCTCTGTCCCTCAGAATAAGGTACAAACTCTTTAACACAACTTCAATAGCCCTTAAGCATGGCTGCTGATTACCTTTGCAGTCTCAAAACTCACTACTTCTTACCCCCTGCCCTTTAACTATAATGAACTATTTTCTATTCCTAGGCTTGCTTGTGTGCCGTGGTCTTTCTTACTTTCATGCTTACTGTTCTCTCTACCTGGATTACTCTCTCCTTCTCCTCTTTACATGAATAAATTACTAGCAATCAAGTTTTAGCACTCAACTTAGACGTTACTTAATTTAAAAAGCTTTCCCTGACACCAAAGTCAGGATTAGGTGCCCCCTTTCTTCTTTCATCCTATCCTGAACTCATCATATCTTGGCGCTTATCATGCTATCTCATACTCGCCCGCTAACTTGTGTGCATGCACGTCTCTTAATACTGTGTAAACTTTCTCAGAGGAATAACCTTGTCTACAATTTTTACTAGTATACGCTTGGCAACAGGACCTGATACAAAGAAAGCATTCGATAAATACAACAGTGAATGAATGCATAAATGAACAGATGAATGAATAAGTAGAGATATAGATTTGGGGAAGTAGATGATGATGAGCTCAGTTTTGAATACATTGCTTTGAACAAAGGAATCATCATTATATCCAAGGCAGGAGCAGACACTCATCTGAATGGTTGAACCAGAGTCTATGGGAAATGCAAAAGTAGATAGTAAGATCTGCAGTTACCCATGAAGTAGAGATATTGAAGCCACAAGATTGGATAAAATTGGATATAGTAAATAGAGAGAAAAAGAGAGAATTAAGGATAAAACATTATGGAATACCTATATCTATTTTTAGGTGAAAGCACCATCCACCTGAAATCAAGTGAGTAAAAACTCCATTAAGGACTCTAGACAAATAAAAGTTGATGAAGGTTTATGTTTGTGGATGAGAAGCTATTGGTGATGACTTCCAGATAAGTAAATGACTTCAGTATTGGAATACCTGGCCCCTTTGCCAACCCAACATTCTCAATTACCTAATAATTAATGACAAAATGCCCAAAGGAACATAAAAATGATGAAAAGCCTGCACAGTATTAGGAACAATGACTAACCAGTGTACTTAGAACTGAATTAATTCACCTGGAAACAAATCAAGGAAAGACTCATTTCTTCTTCTTTCTGAGATTGTAGTGTGACATTACAGAAAATAAATCTAGGAGATTCTGGCACCTCACAATTTCCATCAGAGAGGGCTAAAGGCAATGACACAGAATAGAATAAGCAGGAGGTACCTCCCTTAGATCTCTTTACTTGCTCTGATCAGCCACATTCCAAATTATCTGCTTTGGGAGACATACAAGAATGTGAACTACTCAAGAAGGAAACCAGCAGGTAGTGGTTTTCTCCCTGATCCACTATGATTCTTCCCAATGGTTTGAATAGTAACACAGGAAAGACAACAAGATACATGGTGTCCATAGACTAAAGACTGGGCCAAATGGAAAGTGAGACAGAGTTGGTCTGAGGAATAGCAGCTTCACAAATTATGGAGAAGAAATTACACACAGATTAAATGACCCCTCTAGGCCTGCCCATGCCCTAGTCTCCCTCCAAGTATTTTTAGAATGCTGGATTACTAAATTTATGCTAACTGCCTTTCTAGTTTAAAACATTAGAGAAATGTTCCATAAAATATATTCAGGTATATGGTGAAGACATCAAACAGATGTATTCCCATGTGCTGCTTAGGCAAATAGCAGGCCATAAATGACCTCTCCACACTCACAAGGGAGAAAACAGGATGGAGAAAATAAAAAGGAATAGCTTTTTTCTAATAAAAGGAGTAAATACAACTCTCTCAAAGTTGTTCTTTAAAAACTTTCTATGATAAACAAACAAAAAATGTTTTAAAAGTGTCCGTATTATGCAGTCCAAATTCACATAGACTCTTGAAGCAAAAAATATAAGATGAAATGATAATCAAAACACTAAGTTCAAATACTGTAACACTCTCTTTATTATCTCTTAGTTTCAAGGGATGTGGGCTGACAACGTGTGCTCTATTTGAGGCCTCACTCCTGCTACACATCAATAACAAAGACGACTGACCTCAGACAGTTAAGAGTAGCTAGACAGGAAAGAGGGACACTCTTTGTCATGCTTCTCTGATCTGGCAGTTGACTAAGAGCAAGGAGTTTCATTAGACGAAGGGATGTGTAAAGTCTGGATGTAAGGGTACACCTAAATTGCTTAGACCAGATTCTGTAAATGGAGGCCTACGGGTGCAAAAGTACAAGTGCAGAGAAGATATACACCCATGCAACAAAGAGAAAGCCAGCAGAGAGTGGGGTTTTGTTTCTTGTTTTTTAATCTCTTCAAAATTCTTACCAATATGCCAGGTTCACAACAAAATGGAAGGACAATCTATATTACACCATCTTGCAAAAGGTGGTGAATACGGTACCTGGTGAAATAATTCTAGAAAGAAAAATCCCTGGTTCTGGTGGTCTGAGAGTGTAGCTCTCCCTGTCCTCTTTTCAGACAGCTAAAGAGCTGAATGGGTAATAAAACCTTATAGCCTGCCAACCCCTTAAGCTTAAGTTCTAAATGAATGATCAAATGGAGCTGAGTAAATAGAAGAAGACAAGGAGAATTCAAACAAATTCTTGTAGCACACTATATGGCTTATCTGCAGATTGTAAATGACATTCTCTCTGGGATGACAAATTCCTAGAAGACATCCTTTCCTTATGAACTCATCCAGAAATCAGAATACAAGAGAACCTGACTGATTCAGTCCACAGTGGACTCTCTCCTGTGGCACAGCACAGTATGGGGAAGGATGAAAAATAGACCTTGAGAAGCAAACAGTATGGTGACCGTTAACAGAATTAATATGCAAAACTAATGATATTTTCTTCTCTTTGAAAAGCTAAAAGCAGAACAAACTTGAGAATGTGCAGGACCTATATGAAGAAAGCTATATTTTACTGAGGTACGTGAAAAAAGAGATAAAGGGAGGTTCATGCCTTGTTTTTAGGTGGGAAATGTTAATACTTAAAAACTTCAATTTCTCCAGCTGAATCGACATATTCATTATTTCTGCAATCAAAATTCCAGGGGTTCCATTTCACAACTTGATGAAATAATTCAAAACTACAGTTTAGAAAATTAAACAGTAAGAAAAATTCCAAAGGAAGAAGAATGACTAGAATTATAGAGCTACAATAATTGAAATGGTATGATTTTGGGAAAAGATCAGTTAGATCAATGAAACTGAATAGAGAATCTAGAAATGGATTCCTACATTCCTATTGGCACATGAAAAATGTGGCATTTCTAATCACTAGGGAAATAATATAGATTACAAGATAAATGATAGTAGGTCCATTGAATAACCAGTTTGGCGAGAAGAAAATGCAGTTAAGGTCTGACCTCAAGCGAAAAACATTATAAGCTTAAATATTTAAATATAATTTAAATGTAAACCAAAAATAACCCTCATAAATATATAGGAAAAATTAGAAAATGTTTCAATAATTCAGGTGAGGAGCTATATAAAAAGCTTTTACAAATCAATAAAATGGTATACCAAAGTTTTTTTTAAAGTGGATGAAAACCACTCATAAAAAGTAGTCAGAAATCGGGGCTGGCCCCATGGCCGAGTGGTTAAGTTCGTGCGCTCCGCTGCAGGCGGCCCAGTGTTTCGTTGGTTCGAATCCTGGGCGCGGACATGGCACTGCTCATCAGACCACGCTGAGGCAGCGTCCCACATGCCACAACTAGAAGAACCCACAACGAAGAATATACACCTATGTACCGGGGGGCTTTGGGGAGAAAAAGGAAATAATAAAAATCTTAAAAAAAAAAAAAAAAGTAGTCAGAAATCAAATGTAAAAAGGCTAGTATGCATTGAAAAAGCCTGAGGCCAGCTTCATGAGTGTGAAACTTTTAGAGTCACACTGAGTCCTAAGCTTATAAAGGACCCATACTTGGTGTAATACTCTGCTGACATAGTCTTGAAGTTTTTAATAGTTTTTGAACAAAGGGGCCTGGATTTTCATTTTGCACTGAGTCCTGCAAATTTTGTAGCCATTCTTGGTTAATTTTCACATATAGTTAACAAAATACAAATGAAAACCTGAATTTTGAAAATTGTTTTAGGGGCTGGCCCCGTGGCTGAGCAGTTAAGTTCATGCGCTCCTCTTCAGCGGCCCAGAGTTTCTTGTCGGTTCAGATCCTGGGTGCGGACATGGCACCATTCATCAAGCCGTGTTGAGGTGGCATCCCATATGTCACAACTAGAAGGACTCACAACTAAAATATACAACTATGTACTGAGGGGATTTGGGGAGAAAAAGTAATTAAAAAAAAAGATTGGCAACAGTTGTTAGCTCAGGTGCCAATCTTAAGAAAACAACAACTTCTGTTTAAAAAAACGTTTTAAGATTGAAAAAGATAAAAAACAATGATATCATATAATATCAAGAGTATAGATGAAGTAACACTCTCATACACTTTTAGTTCAACCATCTGCAAACACTCTAGAGCCAAACACCAAAATTTAAAGTGAATACCTTTGATCCAGCAATTTTCCCCCCAGGAATAGATCTACAGGAACTAGTTGGGCTAATATGTAAAAATAAGGATATTTATCACAGTATTGTTTATGATAGCAAAAAAAACGTGAACCAATCTAAATGTCTATAAATTTATTGATTATGAATTGAAAGATATATTTACCTATTGTACTTTAACTCACAATGTTATATTAGTTGTAGCTGCATATAAACACATCCATATGGTCTATATAGATATATGTTGATATGGAAAGACATCCATGATTCATCATTAACTGAAAAACAGGCTATTTAACAAGAAGGTGAGTAAAATGCTATAGGTACCTAGAGAAAACTTTTCATATAGTTTATGGTCAAAAAGATGTCTGAAACGAAAAACACAAAAATATTTTTCTCTGAAATTACAGGAAATTTTCTCTCTGTTATTACATTTTTTGATAGTCTTCTTCTTAACAATGAGTTTTAATTTCTATTAAAATCAAGAAAAAACATATCATTTTGAATGAATAAGAATTAGCTCATTTAATTGTGTCTATGATCATTAAAATATTTAAATAAAATAATTACAAAAGTAATTGTAATTTGGTATAAAATAAGGCAAATGACCAAAAGGTTTTGAAAGAAAAGATAAACAATGTTTAAAAGTTACAGTAAGTTGTTTCAAATATGTAAATTATACAATTAAAACTTGGAAAGTGAAAGTAAAAGTATACTGATTTCCTCACCTTAAAAGGAAGCAAGTGTGGGGGACTGGCATTGGCCATCCCAAGATATGTCTCTTTGTATGAGGATTATTTGGGGCTGGCTACTTTTAATAAACTGCATATGGGAAGGAGGCTCTGAGGAGTGGAACTTGCTTGCCCTTTGTTAGGAGACATTTACATTGTAAAGGAAATCTCCATCTGTAAAGGTGTCTCCCTCTCTGTACCAGGAAGAAGGGGGGATGACCTTATCTCTAGAAACTTCTCAATGCAGAAGGCAAGGACTTAAATCTGCATAATAATCTTAATCCTGTTTATTGTGCTTGTCTGGTAACCTCCTGTAACTGACTCTCCCCACCCCCAACATCCTCCTTTGTCTTTAGCTGAAGATGATATTTAAGGTGGGGGCTTCAGCCATTTTGGCGAGTTGCTCAGCTTGCCTGAGCCTCTCCCATGTATACATGTTATAAGGCTTTGTTTAATTTTCTCCTGTTGTTCTGTCTCATGTGAATTTAATTTGTTCTCCAGCCAGAAGAATCCACAGTGGGTAGAGGAAATGTCTTCCTCGCCTACACAAGTAAGTATACATTGCCTCTGTTCTGACATAAATAATTAGAGAAATATAGGTTTAATTTTGTTTTTGCAAAGCATAAAGGTAGTACAATTTATAAGGATTTTTAGAAGTATGAAAAATTATACCAGACAGTACATGATTATGAGATAGAAGATAAGGCAGTAAATCTTGAACTGGAGTGAAGAATAGTACTTAATGTGAAAAATAATAATTGATTTGGATTCAAATTTAATTAAAAAGAGAGGAAACCATACTAGACTTAATGAACTGCAGAAAATTTCAGTCTTTCATCTAAAAAGAGAACACAGAATGTAGCTGAATTCAGATGATGTATTACAGTCATTGAGTTAATTCTCTATGTTGATTAAAATAAACACATAATCTCCAATAAATTGCTTCCTGATATTCCTTTAAGTTGTTTCACTTGAAAGAGATTTCAAATGGAGAAAAATATCAGACATCTAAAATAAATTCAGGACCACCTGCAGTTTGAGTCTTAGAAGGCTGATGAGTAGAGATATTTTAGTCAAGTGTCTGATGTAAAATATCACATTTCTACCATCATTTTTGATTGGAAAGGGGATTCTTGGAGGCAACCCAGTGCAATATGGCAGTCAAACTGAAAGGTAACATAGTGCCAATTTTATCTGTATATTTGAGCTATTAAAACAATTTTAAAGAACTAAAGTAACGGATGTTTATTTTTCTTGCCAAATTCATTTAAGGTTTAAATCTTTTTTTTCACTCTTTGGAAACATTTTAACCTATGCTATGAAAGTGGTAGAATAAGAAAAATTATACAAAATTTCAATAATTGAATGCATATTGTCTGTATTCTTTATTGATAGCTGGATAAAGTGAGAGAATTAAAGAATTCGTCTTCTTATACATTAACTGAGCAATGTATATATTATGAGTTGTCAAAAGTAATACTAAATTAAGGAATGATAATTTGTAGAAAATATTGTTTCTTTTAAATAAAGCTGACTCTATATAGAGGCGACTCCTTTAGTGAGAGAATTTGATGACTTTAAGTGATAGAATGCGTATGGCAATTTCAGACAATAGGTGACCAGATAAAAACAATCAAATAGCAGCTGATTGTTTTTCAACATATTTTCTGTAGACCATCAGCATACAGAGTACCCACCATGCTTTTTAAGAATTCAGATATTTAGACCCTAGTTCAAAATGACCCAATCCAAATTTCTGAGGTAAACCCCTGGAACCTGCATTTTTGCCAAAACCTTCAAGAAGTCTTGTAGATTAATTTCTCAGAAATGCTGCTTACAGGATGTGAGGCAAAAATCTAAAGAAGGGGAAAAGGAAAAGCACAGAGAGCTACACAAGAGTCACTAGATGGTTCTCTGAGAACAGCTGACTTCACAGGTCTCAGGCACCATTATGCATAACTCCATAGATTCTTGGAGACTGCACTGGGAAGACAGATTTCAGTGATGTGGGGTCGGTGAGCCAGAGTGGAAAGAAAGATATCTCGGACTCTCAAGGTCTGGCAGTAGTGCTCTTTTATTCAGAGAATAGTGTGGAATAGCAGGAGGATAGGACCCATGGGCAGTCAGAGCTGCAGTGTGGGGACAGGACCCACCGGCAGGAGGAGCTGCTGCTGCAAACATGGGTTGAGGGTAGGGCTAAATTTAAGGCATAGGTATGTGAGTTATCTCTTTACAAGACAAAGGAAAGAATATGTAAAAAGAGTTGTTAAAATGGTATCAGTGTGGGTGGGGTCTGGTTATTGGGTGGTCTTATAACTTTTAGATAAGAATCAAACTGGATTAAGTAAATGGCAGAAGCCACCACCTTAAATATTATCTTCAGCTAAAGACAAAGGAGGATGTTGGTGGTGGTGGTGGGGGGGGGTCCTCAGTTACATGAGGTTACCAGACAAGCACAATGAACAAGACTTGAGTCCTTGCCCATCCCCATTAAGAGTTTCTAGAGATAAGGTCATCCCCCCTTCCTCCTGGTGCAGAGAGGGAGACAACCCCCACAGATGGAGACTTCCTTCACAAATGCAAATGTCTCTCTTCAAGGGGCAAGCAAACTCCACTCCTCAGAGCCTCCTTCTCATCTGCAGTTTTTAAAAGTAACCAGCCTAAAATTATCCTCATCATCAGGACAGTTAGGAGCACAGAATGGGATGAGAGCAGAGAATACTTTATCAGCAGTTTTACAGCCAAAATGAAGGAAATGTACTTATCTTCCTACCTGCTATATGATTCTGGAAAAAAATATTTTTTAAATCTATCTCACCTTCAGTTATAAATGAATAAAATAATTGGTTGCACCCTTCTAACCCCAGATAAATATTTATATGAACAATTAAGAAATGTTTCAAAAAGCTTTGGCATGTCTCCAGAACTGATCCTCTCTTAACCAGGCCCACTATTTGTCACTAAATCGTTTCCTTTTACTGAACTACATCCCTCCCTCCTTTCTTTCTGTATATAAAGAAAATACAGATAGACTTCCTTGTAGATTAATATTTTAACACAGTAGCTAGCATTGTCACTAGGCGTATAATTTATTAATAAGAAATATTTAATGTTATTGGTAAATTGCTATCATTTCATTTTGATCCCATTTTTTTCATTCATTAATCAAATATGTTTTAGTCTCTACTTGTACAAGAAACTGCTAGGCCCTAGGCAGGAAGCAACAAACAAAATACACACCATCATGAAGTTTACAGTGACAAATAGAAACGGCAAACAATAAGATATATTGGAGTATATGAGGAAGCCATTTGGTGTAAACCTAATTCAGCCTGACTTTGTTTTTCCAAAAGGGCCTGACATGGCCATCAAGCATGCATTGTATATCTGCT